CTGAGCACCATTCGAGTCCCTGACCCGGCATGTGCCCAGAGTGGTTTTCAAGCCACCAGGTCCAGGACTCGAACCGCAACTGCCCATGCGAGAGTCCAGCGCCTTCACAACTAAGCCACCTGGCGGCTCATCTTGCTTGTTGTTGTTGCTGCTGTATTTTCCCCTAATAAATTCTGCTTTCAGGTCAGGTGTAAAAATCTTCACAGTTACGGGCTGGCAGGTGTGGTGATGAAGAGCGCTGGACTCCCACATGGCTGACCACGGCTCAAGTCCTGGGCCTGGTGGCTTGGTTCTCACTTTCTCCCCCACCCTTCACATTCTGTCCCTCTCTGGTCAAACTAAAATAAATAAAGTTAAAAGAAAAGAAAAAGAAACCTTCACAGTTACAAAGGTCAGTGGTAAAACCTTGGACCTGCAGGTGGCATAGTGGTTAAGGTGCTGGACTCCCACATGGCCGACTGCGGGCTCAAGTCCCAGGCAGCTTAAAACATGCTGGGCGCGGGTGTGTGCGAGCCAAGAATCCCGAGGGGAAGGGACTGCTACGTGGCCATGCCCCCGGGGGGTGACTTCTCACTTTCTGACTCTCTGTCTCTATCTATCTCTATAGCAAAAATTTCCCTCAAAAAAAAGAAAAAGAAAAGAACGAAAACAAATCACACACAGTAGGAACTAACATAGGGCGTAGTGGCTGTGTCGCTGGACTCACCCACATAGTCAACCACAGTTCAAGTCCCGGATCTGGCAACTTAAAACTCACACCAGGCGCCACGTGCGTGTGTGTCCAAGATCCCGAGAGGAGAACGGAGGAGAAGGGATTGCAGCATGGCCATTCCCCTGGGAGGTGATTCCTCACTTTCTGTCTGTCTCTGTCTTTCTGGCGAGTGCATGTGCCCTGTAGCAAAAACCTCTCCAAAAAAATAAAAGTTTCTGAAAAAAAGGGGGTGGGAGAAAGAGAATCACGCAAGGTACACGGGCGTGCACCCAACATCCCAGGAGAAGGGACTGTGGTGTGGCCTCCCCCAGGGGATGAGCTCTCACTTTCCCCTTCACTGTCTCTCTCTCTCTCTCCAGCAAGTGCACACACCCTAAAGCAAAGAAAAAAGGGCCCAGCAGGTGATATAGCAGTTACGGCGCCGGATTCCCACACGGTCGACTGTGGCTCAAGTCCTGGACTCAGTGGCTTGAACCTCACACCAGGTGCATGTATGTGTGTGCCCAAAATCCCAAGACGAAAATGGAGAAGGGATTGCGGCATGGCCATCCCCCCCGGGAGGTGACTTCTCACTTTCTTTCTGTTTTTTCCAGTGAGCTCACATGTCCCATGTCAAAAAACTCTCTTAGAAAAACAAAAAAAATATTTTGGGGCCAGCAGGTGGCATGCTAGTTAAGGGTACTAGACTACCACATGGCCAACTGTAGTTCAAGTCCCAGACCTGGCAGCTTGCTGTCTCATTTCCCTCTTTCTCTCTCTCTCTTGCTCTGTCCCTCTCTGGTCAAATTTAAATAAATAAATAAAGGTAAATTAATTGTATTTTATTTTTAAAGAGTTGTTTAACTTTATTCATTTATTTTATTTTAATTTGACCTGGGAGGGACAGAGTGAGCGTGAGAGTGAGAGAGAGTGAGAGTGAAAGTGAGTGAGAGAGAGAAAGAGAGAGAGAGAGGGAAAGTGAGAAAGCAAGCTGCCAGGTCTGGGATTTGAACTGTGGTTGGCCATGTGGGAGTCTAGCACCCTAACCACCAGGACACCTGCCTACCCCCAAAATAAAATTTATTTTTGGGGAAGGAGAGGTTTTTTTTATATAGGACACATGTGCTTGCCAGAAAGACAGAGACAGAAAGCAAATCACTCCCCCCACCCTGGGGAGATGGCCACGCCACAATCCCTTCTCGGAATCTTGGGCATGCATGCACACATGCCCGGCATGAGTTTAAACCACCGGGTCTGGGACTTGAATTGCAGTCGACTACGTGGGGGTCCAGAGGCAACATAGCCATTATGCCAACTGCTGGTCCTGCTCCAAAGTAAATTTTAAAAATTTAAAAAAAAAACAAACAAAAAACCAGCTTTTCACCGTTACTCAGAAATGATTCGCCTTTCGCACACACCCTATCCCCCACCTATCAGCATGTCCTCAGTTATCCACAGTCACCTTCATGGACACGCACGTGAGGCCTTCCTACCTCGCAGAATTTTAGTTCCGCTCAGATCTAGAGAGCGGGCCTCAGGTAGACGAGGTGGCTGCTCGGTTGGGGCGTCCTTACGGCTGGCCCACTGCGGTAACAGCACATCTCGGAGAACTCCTCTTTTCACCGTCTACAACTTCCCGGGGATCACACCCTCTTCTGTAACTAAAATTACCAGCTTCTCCCTGTCTTCTAAGCTGCAGACCTGAAGGCCCCCACATCTGGGCAGCTATTTCTACAAAACAGTCTCAAAGCCATCAGCTGCCCCGGCTACCTCCAAACACGCACCAGAAAGCTGGATCCCGCCTCGCCTGTCCCTACACCAGATTCAGTTCTGTCCGAGTGATCCTTCTAAGGCACGGACCTGGTGACGTCACTAACCTGCAGAAACTTGGGTGAGTCAGTGTCCTCAGAATAAAGTGCAGCTTCCTCCTGCGGCCCAGTGCCTCCCACCTCTCCAGCCTCATCCCTGCATCCTGACCCTGCTCCCTGACTTCTAGCCTTGGCCCTGCTGTAAAAGACCTGGGGCCACACAAAGGGGGCCAGCAGGTGGCATGCTAGTTAAGGGTACTAGACTACCACATGGCCAACTGTAGTTCAAGTCCCAGACCTGGCAGCTTGCTGTCTCATTTCCCTCTTTCTCTCTCTCTCTTGCTCTGTCCCTCTCTGGTCAAATTTAAATAAATAAATAAAGGTAAATTAATTGTATTTTATTTTTAAAGAGTTGTTTAACTTTATTCATTTATTTTATTTTAATTTGACCTGGGAGGGACAGAGTGAGCGTGAGAGTGAGAGAGAGTGAGAGTGAAAGTGAGTGAGAGAGAGAAAGAGAGAGAGAGAGGGAAAGTGAGAAAGCAAGCTGCCAGGTCTGGGATTTGAACTGTGGTTGGCCATGTGGGAGTCTAGCACCCTAACCACCAGGACACCTGCCTACCCCCAAAATAAAATTTATTTTTGGGGAAGGAGAGGTTTTTTTTATATAGGACACATGTGCTTGCCAGAAAGACAGAGACAGAAAGCAAATCACTCCCCCCACCCTGGGGAGATGGCCACGCCACAATCCCTTCTCGGAATCTTGGGCATGCATGCACACATGCCCGGCATGAGTTTAAACCACCGGGTCTGGGACTTGAATTGCAGTCGACTACGTGGGGGTCCAGAGGCAACATAGCCATTATGCCAACTGCTGGTCCTGCTCCAAAGTAAATTTTAAAAATTTAAAAAAAAAACAAACAAAAAACCAGCTTTTCACCGTTACTCAGAAATGATTCGCCTTTCGCACACACCCTATCCCCCACCTATCAGCATGTCCTCAGTTATCCACAGTCACCTTCATGGACACGCACGTGAGGCCTTCCTACCTCGCAGAATTTTAGTTCCGCTCAGATCTAGAGAGCGGGCCTCAGGTAGACGAGGTGGCTGCTCGGTTGGGGCGTCCTTACGGCTGGCCCACTGCGGTAACAGCACATCTCGGAGAACTCCTCTTTTCACCGTCTACAACTTCCCGGGGATCACACCCTCTTCTGTAACTAAAATTACCAGCTTCTCCCTGTCTTCTAAGCTGCAGACCTGAAGGCCCCCACATCTGGGCAGCTATTTCTACAAAACAGTCTCAAAGCCATCAGCTGCCCCGGCTACCTCCAAACACGCACCAGAAAGCTGGATCCCGCCTCGCCTGTCCCTACACCAGATTCAGTTCTGTCCGAGTGATCCTTCTAAGGCACGGACCTGGTGACGTCACTAACCTGCAGAAACTTGGGTGAGTCAGTGTCCTCAGAATAAAGTGCAGCTTCCTCCTGCGGCCCAGTGCCTCCCACCTCTCCAGCCTCATCCCTGCATCCTGACCCTGCTCCCTGACTTCTAGCCTTGGCCCTGCTGTAAAAGACCTGGGGCCACACAAAGGTCCTGGCCTCTCGCCAGAACTCGCTGCCACTTCGTCTCCTGCGCCTGCCCCAACTCCTGCTCCAGGTCTGAACCTGGCTGCCACTCCTCCCCTCCGTCACTCTCGGGGCTGTCCTCCGGCCCAGCACTGCCCCCCTCCAAGCCCAGGGGCCCCATTTCCCAGCAGCAACTCGGGCCCCAGAAAGGGGAGGGAGAGCGGACGGTCCTGCAGGTCTGCCGCCGAAAAAGACAGGAAGGGGCAGGATGGTGCAAGACCTCTCTATTCTCAGCCGGAAGACGTGTCCTCGCCCCAGTCTCCGGCAGATTCTGCCTCGGACTCCTGTCCCCTCCCCTGGGAGATCCTAAACTCACAGCGAACTTCACCATCTCCCCTCCTTACAACCAGGTCTCAGCTCAGCCTCTACCTCCTTTCTCCAGCCTCCCCACTCAGCCTCCACCTCCTTTCCCACCACCTGCCCTGCTCAGCCTCTAGTTCCTTTTCCAACAGTGTCCCTGCTCAGCCTCCACCTTTCCCCAGCCTCCTTTCAGCCTCCACCTCCTTTCCCCTCAGCCTCTTTGCTCAGCCTCCACCTCCTTTCTCACCATCCTCCCTACTCAGTTTCTACCTTTCTCTCAGTCTCCCGACTCAGCCTCCACCTCCTTCCCTCTCAGCCTCCCTTGCTCAGCCTCAACCTCCTTTCCCACCCACCAACCTCCCTGCTAGCCTCTACCTTTCTCGCAGTCTCCCGACTCAGCCTCCATCTCCTTTCCCCTCAGCCCACCTTCTTTACCCTCAAACTCTTCGTCGCTCAGCCTCCACTTCCTCTCCCCCAGCCTCCCGCTCAGCCTCCACCTCCTCTCCCCAGCCACCCCTGCCGGACCTCCTCCGCCTGGAGGCCCCTCCCGGCCCGCGGCCCCAGGCCGACGCTCACCGTCGTAGTAGTAACAGACTTTCCTCCTGGTGCCCTGAGTCTGCGCCATCTTGCTCGCCTCCGGTGGCTCCCGTCAGTCGGTCCGTCCGGCCTCGGCCCGCGGCTCCGCTCAGCGTCCGACCCGGGGAGGGGGCGGGTCTTCAGCGCGCCCCGCCCACCCCTCAGGGCGCGCCCGGGGACCGAACCACCGGCCCGGGGCGGAGGGGCTCCCAACCCGCCGCCCTGCGGGTCGGGGCGTGCCCGGAGCGCCCGGCCACTCTCTGACCCGCCGAATGGAGGAGGCCTGTGGGGAAGTGCCTCGCGCGGGGTCGCCCGGTGATCGGCAGAACCGGGGCCGGAACGGAGTCCGGAGTCCAAAGGCCCAGAAAGTACCTGACCAAGCCGGGCGGCCGCGCTGTGTTAGAGAGGGCCAGGCCCCTGGGAGGTGTGGTTAAGGCGGCGGATCCCACATGGCCGACTGCGTGAGTCGGGACCCGGCGGATGGAAAAACACCCGGGCGCTGTGCTTGCGCTAGGGTCCTGGGTCCCGGGAGGAAAATGAGACGGGCTCGCCGGAGGCCACCCTGTGGGCGGCTTTGCTTGCCTTCTCTCTCTCCAGTGAGGCGAGCCCTGTGCCCGAACCTACACAGACAGGGCCTACCGCTGCCATCCGCCTGCCGAGCCCCTACCCGAGCAGCCCCCTGGGTCAGGGCGGACCTGGCTCCCACGGGGCCGCAGCTTCTACCGGGAACACTGCAGGCTGGGCCTGGCGCAGGGTTGTTACTCCCTTGTGCACGCACAGGGTAAAGGAGGCAGACCTTGACAAATTTATTCTATTCATTGTCATTATTACTATTTTAATTTGAACAGAGAGAGACAGAAAGTGAGAAAGCAAGCCACCGGGTCCAGGTCTCGACCTGTAGGCAGCCATGTGGGAATCCAGCGCCTTAACCACCAGGCCAGCCCTACTGGATTGTACAGACTTAGCCGCCTGCCGGCGCAAGCAGCGCAGAGGGGGAGCGCCTTTTTTTTTTTTTTTTTTTCCAGGTTTTTGCTATAGGGCGTGCGGGCTCGCCAGACAGACAGAGAGACACAAAGTGAGAAATCACCCCTCAGGGGGGATGGCCACGCCGTAATCCCTTCTCCTCCATTCTCCTCTCGGGATCTTGGGCACACACGCACACGCGCCCGGTGTGAGTTTTAAGCCACCAGGTCTAGGACGTGAACTGTGGTCAAATACGTGGGAGTCCAGCAACATGGCCATTAGAGCTAACTGCTGGTCCCCGGGACCCACCTTTCTGACTGTAGAGCCTGCCTCCCTCTCGGTCACCAAGGATGCCTGAATCTAGACAGGAGGACACCCACTGTCCTCTTAAAGGCGAGCAGGGCTTCCCAACCTAAATACTGCCTTGTGCTGGGGCCGTGGTCCAGTGCACAGACAGGGCTTGGCGGCACCCCTGGCCTCCACCCACTAGGTGCCAGTGCCACCCCCACTGTGAGAACCAAAACTGTCTCCAGACATTGCCACGTGGGAGGGGGATGGCTAGAGGGGGATAAAATTGTCCCTCACCCTTGCCTTGAAGATCATTGCACTCGGGAACCAGCAGTTAGCGTAATGGTTATGTTGCTGGACTCCCACGTAGTCGACCGCGGTTCCAGTCCCAGACCTGGTGGCTTAAACTCACGCCGGGCGCGTGTGCGTGCGTGCCCAAGATCCCGAGAGGAGAATGGAGGAGAAGGGATTGCGGCGTGACCATTCCCCCTGGGGGGTGATTTCTCGCCTTCTGTCTCTCTGTCTCTCTCTCTCTCTCTCTGTCTGGCAAGCACATGCGCCCTATAGCAAAAACCTCTCCAAAAGATAAAAAAAAAATTCTTTAGAAAAAAAAAATCCTACAGTAATATTCATATTTAGCAACTACTTACTATATGCCAAATATTTTGCATGTATTATAGCTAGCAGCTACAGTCAATAGGGCTCTGTATTGACCTATGGTCAATAAGATTCATTTCTATGCCTCTTTAAAGTACACTGGGTTGGGGCCAACGGGTGGCATAGTGGTTAAAGGCACTGGACTCCCACATGGCCGACCACAATTCAAGTCCCGGAGCTGGTGGTTCACTTTCTCACTTTCCGTCTCTCTCTTTGATTAAACTGAAATAACAATAATAAATAAAGTAAAAAAAAAAAATGTGTGTGTGTGTGGGGACAACAGATGGCATAATGGTTACGATGCTGGACTCCCATGTAGTTGACCGCAGTTACAGTCCCAAACCTAGTGACTTAAAACTCACTCCCGGGCACGTCTGCGTGTGTGCCCAAGGTCCCAAGAGGAAAATGGAGGCGAAGCAATTGTAGCATGACCATCCTGCGGGGCATGATTTCTCGCTTTCCGTCTCTGTCTCTCTGGCAAGCTCTATAACAAAAACCTCTCTTTACAAAAAACGCGTGTCTGGGGACCTGAGTTTCTCATGGGGACCTGCCTTGGCCTACCCACCATAAAGGAACAGGAAAGCCAAGACAAGGAAGCTCGATTGTAAAAGGGCCAAGGATCACGTCCTATCTCCGGTTCTGTGTTGGGGCTCCCCAGGTAGACCGGAGTAGGTTTCTTAACCTTTCTGGGCCTCCATTTCCCTCTTTGTAAAATGGGAAGGGTAAGAACACAAAGTTCACCCACACTGTGGCTGCACACAGGGTCCAAAGAGGAGGGAGACAGATGCAGTTGGGGCTTGGCAGCCTTCGTAGCATGCAGAATGGGGGTCGCAGATCAGGGGCCTATGAAGGCCAGATGGGTGATGTAAATGAACAGTCTATGTTATTATGACCGGTGCACTTGGCATATTTTAAAAATTGCATTATTGGGGACCAGCACATGACGTAATGGCTAAGTCATAGGACTCTCACGTAGTTCGAGTCCCTGACCCAATGGCTTAAACTCACGCCGGGAATGTGTATGTGCGTGCCCAAGATCCCAAGAGGAGAATGGAGAAGGGATCGCGGCGATCCCCCGGGGGGTGATTTCTCACTTTCTGTCTCTCTGACAGGAGCATGCGTCCTATAACAAAACCTCTCGAAAAAATAATAATAAATACAATTAAATAAATATTTTTTAAAAAAGTGTCTTGGGGCCAATGGATGGAATGGTGGTTAAAGGCACTGGATTCCCACATGGCCAGACCATGTTCAAATCCCGGACCTGGCGGCTTGCTTTCTTGCATTTCCTCTTTCTCTCTGTCTCTCTCTGTTCAAATTTTTTTTGCTTTTTCTTGGAGAGGTTTTTGCTATAAGGCACGTGTGCTCACCAGAAAGACAGAGACAGAGAGACAGAAAGCGAGAAATCACCCCGGTCCCTCTCTGGTCAAATTTTTAAAATAATAATAATAACAACAAAATATAATTAATTAATTAAATAAATCATTATTAAACAAAAAATCCCAGAACCAGCAGATGGCATAATGGCTATGTCGCTGGACTCTCCAGTGTATAATCAT